CGTGAACCGGGAAACTGGTTTTCAAAAAATAAAGCCTGATCCTCTTTTTTTTTTTTTTGGCGGATTCTGACTGCGCTCTTCAAGAGCTGTCAAAATCTGTAATAAAATTTTGAAGGTCCAATTTTTTTGGGGGGTGCCCCAGGGGGAGGTGGGGATATTATTGGGATATTCACCGAGGTGTCATTTTCAGGGGGAGGGGTCGAGTAAGCAATGATACTTATGCAACCCCCCGTGGCCCAAGAACTTCAATTCAGTAGCAGAGGGCACTCTGGACTATGCCAACGGCCGTCAGAGTCCTGCAGCCTGAATGAGACGTAATAGGAGTGGATCCTTGCCAAAACTTTCAGTTTTTCCAGAGTATAGCTCGACGGCCGAAAAGTTATGGGTGCAGGTTTCAGCTCGTGCAGGCAGAGCGTTTTCTGTTTGTTTGTTTTTTTTAAATATGCTGGGTCATCAGAGTCCTCAGTCCGAAAGTATATCGCCTGCTAGTCTGTCCAGATACATGTAGTGGAGCCACGTGCATTCTAGATAGATTGACAGAAAAATATAGCTTAGGTCCATCCTTGCGCTTGCACCTCAGACAGAGCCGAAACCCAAACCCATAACTCTTTCCCCAGAGCTTAGTGATGTTGCAGAAGCATATAACCTCAGGAGAGCCACTGCTCTTGCATAGTAATTCCCTCGTGGCTGAGGATGGACGAGTATGTCATGCCAACGACAATCACACTACGCCAAATCGAAATATTGGGCTTGGTGCCCCCCAATTTTTGAGAAAACAAGCGCGGCGGTTGTTCACCGCTGATCTGCAAAGATAAGCGGCGGAGATCCTCCGCTCGTTGTTTTCTAGAAGTGGGGCCCAAAAAGCCCCAATTTTTTTTTTTTGGAGGCCGCGTCCTCGTGGGGGCTGGGCAGTCGTGGGGATGCCTGTCACTGCCCGGTACCCCCCGTCCAGCCTAATGTGCTGGATTCGACCGGGGGTCCTGCCGGGTCGGTCGACCGGCCGGTCCAACCGGCAGGCTCCCGGACGGGGAAGGGGCCCGGCAGGCTCCCGGACGGGGAAGGGGCCCCCGGTCCAACCAGGGACCAGCCCTGATTTCAGGTGGAAACCGTGGACACCGATTGATGTTCCGGTCCCCAACTTGCAGCAGCAGTACCCCCCTGGTATCTTGGAGTTCAGCAAGCAGTTTGTTGATGAACTGCGGCAAGCCATCAGGTGAGGAGCAGGAGTCCATGGCTGCAGAGGCGGACAGACACCGAAGACATTCACTATTCAGAGGAGACTTTGTTGAGGTCGGTATGGATGAGTTGTCACCAGACGGACAAAGTTCATGGAAAGTGCTTCCAAAATGGCATGGGCCATGAGAATCATTGAGAGTGATTGGAGATGAACCAACCACACAGACATCATTCGCTGCAACCTTTCTGTTGTGCTTCTTCAGGCAGCAGGGCAGTGCAGGCGAAAATGCATTTTCGACGCCTGCTCGTTCCTTCTCCGTGACTATAGTCACTTCGTCAGCCTTCTCCCTCTTACTCCTCCCTATGGCCATTGCAGCCTTCGCCACGAGGCGCCCTGTACTTTGCGGAATTGTCCTCCCCAACCTGGGTAGACGGGCCTGCTCTATCTACCGGCTTCAGTCTTTTACGGGCCTCCGACTGACTGCCAGTAGCGCCCACACTTCACACATTGACTGACGTTCATTCTCGTCATCCAGACGTCAGTTGTGACTCGTATATGTCCAATGCCATCATTTGGCCGCCGTTACCCTTTGAGGGGTCATTACTGTCATGCCTGGCTTTCTGCTTTTTGGTTCCTTGCTGTTTCGGCTGCTTTTCCTCGCCGTTATACTTCACAGTCTTCTGTAGTTGCTGGATTGCAGCAAAGGTCGTCTGGTTCTATGTCCCCTACAAACCAGGCACTTCTCTCTTGTGAAGGGCTGTCCATACTGTCATACATCTTACTCGTTCACTTGTCTTTACTACCTTTGGTCGGCTGCCTAGTTGCCGACTTCCCCTCTTCATCTCACGGCACTTCATCTGTCATCCTCCAATATGGTGCAGGTCCTCTGGTTGGGAATCTAGGTGGCTCGTAAACTACTTTTGAAGAGCTCGAATAAATGCATACGTGGGCCATCTTCCATAGCTAAGTCAGGTGTCTGTAGGATCTGGTTGAATTCCCAGACCAGGTCTGGTACGCTGCTGCGGTAACCCTTCGTGGCCAACTTGACATGATGGCCTCATGCCTTCGTCTGGACTATTGACCATAGTATACTCTCTGCAACTTCTGGGAGAATTGCTACCAAAATACAGTGGAATTGTTGGCACCCCTAGTCAATCTGTAATAGTTGATCTGTCCATTAAAGGATAATAACAGCTAGAGGTCATTGTCGTTGTCCCTTTCGTCCTTGAACCTGGACGACAAGCCCAAGTCTCAGGGTGGACGAGGATGCCTTATATGTGTCTGCTGCCCCTGTCCCTCGTTCCCCGGTGGGTAAGACATGCGGGTGAATGAGGAGGTGCCTGGGTTTGCCCTTTTGCTATAGAAGGTACGGCGTCAGCCAGATTTTTCGCGTGGCTGAAAACTGGGGCAGCTATGTCTGCATGGAATCAGGCGGCCTCGTCCGTGTGGGCACACAGGAGAGTTGCCGGAGCCTCAAACTTCTCCTCGGTCATGGCACTGGTTTCTCCTAGCATCTTCCTTGAGTCTTCCACTGCCTCTTTGTCTGCTCTTGTTATTCCTCCTCTTTTTTCTACGGCCGGCCTCCAGCTCGGCCTTCCCGCTTCTTGAACTCGACGAGTTCCTGCTTCCTCTCGGCTTCCATTTCTGTTGTTTCTGGCTGTGCTTTTCTTCTTCCTTGCAGAGATGGTAACCGTTGAAAGACGCAGTCCGCCTTCTTTGCTTGGGTACGGGTGGTTAAGGACTACTTGCTGTTGCCGCTCTCCTCCAACTCACAATCTCTCTGCAAGGTACTCTTCTCTCCTCCCCCCACACATGGATGGTATCCCTGTGAAAAAGTCTGTGGGACATGAGGTAGAACACGAGGTTAATAGTTGACAGGTGGCAGAGGCAGGTGCTGATATGGCACTCGGTGACATGGTGCCTCTGCTGACATGCCACCGTCTGGCATTCACATCGTTTCCAACTCGGATAGCAGTGCTAGGACATGCCAGTCTTCAATCCGTTTCTCGTTCTTTTATTTGTCTCTCGCCGTTTTCCCTTAAAAAAAATGAAAAATCTAAAATAGCATTCAAATATGGCCTTGAGATATCATCATTGAACTGACCGGCCCCCGGAAATTCAGGATTATTCTGTTTTTTTGCTCATCTGGTTGCATCTGGATTGTAACTCGGGTCTGTAATTTGACATTGCATGGGTGTACCAACTGAGCTAGGCCCACTGGTACTTCAGTCACAAGTTTCAGCAAATTTTTCACTTGCACACAAAAAAACTTGATTGAGAACATGTCATACTTGAATCGTTAACTTCACACCAGTGTTGTTCCCTGGATGGACCGGGGAGCCCTCCCCCGACCGGGAGCCAGCCTGCTGGTGGGGCCGGGCGGTCCACTGGCCCGGCAGGTCCCCAGTCCAACCCAGCGCATTGTGCTTGGGGGGCGGGAGGGTGCACCGGGGAGTCACGGGCATCCGTGCGATTCCCCAGACCCCGGGAGGCTGCTGCCTCCCTTAAAAAAGAAAACGGGGCCTTTTGGACCCCACTTGTTGAAGAAACTGGGTGGAGGATCTCTGCCGCTGATTTTTGCAGATCAGCATCGGAGAACCACCGGACATTCTTTTTTCAAGTTTTTTGAGACGACGGGTCCAGTAGGCCCCAGCTTCTCATTTTAGCAACATGTGGTCCAATGGACCACTGACCAGACATTATTAACATGTCCTGACTCCTTAGTACTCCTTACACTCGTGCACTCTGAGCCAGGACTCAGATGTTTCAGCAGTGACTTGCTGAGATTATATCTTCCTTCGACGTCCCTGCGGTCTGGGCAGAAAGTTATGGGTTTGGGTTTCGTGAAACCAGAGTAGCAGGGCTGTCCGAGGTGCAAGCCTAAGAATGGACCTCGCTCCACTACATGTATCTGGACAGACTGCCAGGCAAGATACTCTCGCACAGACGAACCACCATACATTGAAAAAAAACAAACAGAAAACGCTCTGCCTGCACGAGCAGAAATCTGAACCCATCGAGCGCGATACTATGCAAGATCTTTAAGTTTGGGCAAGGACATCCCGTAAGTGTATCTGTTTAGGCCTTTTGGGTGTCGTGTCCTTATCCAATTGCGAAGTCCACGAACCCCTAACTTGCTGAACTGAAACTTTTGGGCCACGTGGGGGTCAGATAAGTAACCTGTTTAGCTCGACCCTTTTACGCGAAGGCCATTGCCCGGTGTCTTTCACTCTCTCTCTTTTTTTTAATAGAAGGGGCAACTGTGTTGAGATATCATCTCATGTGAGTCATATCATAGTTGCCGAACTCGCAGCCCCCAAGTTATTCCGAAGTATTTTATTCTGTCGATCTGATACTACTGATAGCATCTGGATTTGAACTCAGGTGTGTATGTCAACAGTTCATGGGTGTACCAACTGAGCTCGGCCGACCGGTCGGTGCCTGGCGTCATTTCGTGAGTGATGCTCTTGTGATTGTTTGAGGTGTGAATTTTGGGTTTTTTTTTTTCCTCTCTTTTTCTTGTTTGATTTCCAAATTTCTGCACGTCATCCTTGTGAAGGGCCCATGCTAATGTCGCAAAGCCGCTGAACTTTGAGCCTTGAGTTTTTGAGATTCATGACTTTTGGGAGCTTGTAGGTGATCGTTAGTCACGAATAACTGCACTGCACTGGCTTTACCAATTCATTTTCCTTTTTTTTATCCAACAATTTTAATTTCCAACTTTTTTTGATTCTTCTAATTTCTTCATTGATTTTAGAAAATTCAAAATTGACTTTCTGAATTTCTGTCTTGATTGCTGGATTGCATGTGCTTCATAACCCAGAAACACAGCAAAAATCTTTTACGCGGCAAGTCTGTTCTTTGAGATTCTGAGACAGTTTGGAGACCTAAACCCTGAGGTGAGTTGTCAATTTGGATCTTGGAAAGACTTGGAGCAACTGTATGAAAGTCATGTCTTCCTTGTGGCCATCATTTTGGATGATCGTGTACTTGCACAACGACTTTCCTGGATGTATGTGACTGCAATTATGAGCCATCCTGGGCGTATTTGGCTGCAATTACATGCGAAAATCAGTAGGAAAGAGTAATGCCCTGACAGTTCAATCTCAACCTGAAAGGCTGAAGCTACCTGAAAGCTGAACCCATTTATTCGGATAGCTTGTGGTAGTACCATGATGCTGACGTTCACATTGTTACTTTGAAGCGGGGAGACGCCAGGGGGAGGAAAGTCCGACTGAACACTGATGAAGCCATGTATTTAACTTGAAAGGGGGGAAAGTGGGGGGAGGAACTTTTTTTTTCCAACTGAACGCTGCTGAAGCCATGTATTTAAGTTGAAAGGGGGGAAAGTGGGGGGAGGAAATCCCGACGGAACACTGCTGAAGCCGTGTATTTAACTTGAAGCGGGGGAAAGTGGGGGTAGGAATTTTTTTCCCGAGTGAACGCTTATGAAGCCATGTATTTAAGTTGAAGGGGGGGAAAGTGGGGGGAGGAAATCCCGACTGAACACTGCTGAAGCCGTTTATTTAACTTGAAGGTGGGGAAAGTGGGGGTAGGATTTTTTTTCCCGACTGAACGCTGCGGAAGCCATGTATTTGGAATTTTGGATCCGAGGGAGCTCTTACTCATCTGCATCCGAGGGAGCTCGGACTCAGGTCTGTATTTCAACAGTTCCAGGGGGGGCGACGGCCTTAAGACGTCATCATCGAACTGACCGGCCCTAGGTATTTCAGAATTGTAGCATTTTACTGATCTGCATCCGGCGGGTCTGTATTTCAACAGTTCAGGGGTGTACTGACTGAGCTAGGTCAGTTGGTGATTTAACTATCTTATTGAGGGTGAGGAGTATCTTTGTGTGCCGATTCTCTTCGAGGAGAAGGCCTTAATCTGGTGCTGCTTTTGTTGGTGAGGGGTGCTATCTTTGTGTGCCGCTGCTCTGTGACTCATCGTGCTGAGGGTAAGGGTAATCCTGTTGGTGCTGAGCGCTTATCCTGATCGTGAATCAACTGTGGGTTGCTGTGCTGGTGTACAGCTTGCCTTCTCCTCTTGTTCCCTCTTCCTCTCTTCTGCTTGCCTGGGGTCTTCGTTTTTTCTTGTTACCTCGTTTCGTTTTTTTTTTCTTTTTTTCTGCGTGAGGACGCCGCCCGGCCGGGCTTGCCCTGCCGGGCTGGGCCCAGCCGGTTGGGCCCGGGGGGGCCGCCCGGGTAACCGGGCAGGACAAAAAACCGCCCAGAATTTTTTTTTTTTTTTTTTTTGAAACCGGGGTCGTTCT